CCAGCGTCTTAATTCTTAGTGTCTTAACTGAATGACCCAGATCTGCACTTCGACGAGTTTTCCCCCCAGAGACCAAGGAGGAGACAGGAGGAATGCCTTTGGCAGCAGAAGAGAAAGATTGGAAGGCTTATAGCAGTGTTGTCCAAACTTGGCCACTTTAAGATTAGTGGAATTTAACTTCCAGAATTCCCCATGCTGGCTGGGGAATTCTGGAAGTTGAAGTCCACTCATCTTAAAGTGGCCAAGTTTGGACAACACTGCTATAAGCCTTCCAATCTTTCTCTTCTGCTGCCAAAGGCATTCCTCCTGTCTCCTCCTTGGTCTCTGGGGGGAAAACTCGTCGAAGTGCAGATCTGGGTCATTCAGTTAAGACACTAAGAATTAAGACGCTGGAACAGGGTTTTGCTCATCTTCCGTGTGTAGATTTTCCATGAGTCACTGTGATGGAATACTTTACTCTCAAACTGGATCAGCTGAGTTATCAGCCTTGCCCATCCCTTGCACACAGTAACCTGAGGATTTCACCTAAGGCTGTGCTGTGGAAGCAATTTGCCATAGTGTTGCGTTCTTCCCCAACCCCCTACCCCTTTCTTTCTGCCAATGTAGAAAAGATAAGTCTTTTCCTTAGAAAGCAGCTTGAGTTGTGAGCCTGAACATCTTTTTTTTCTTGCAGAGAAAAATCTTTTGTAGCAGAAATGTCCATACACATATGTACTTAGCATATATACATGTCTATTATTTAAAAGAGCAGTGAATCTAAAGGGGTTGCCCATAGTTTAGCTTAGAGTTTTATTTGAATTTGAATTTGGGCTTTGGGAGGGGGGTTGTCGTTAGTGGGAACATGGAAAGAAAAGACACTTTTCTGTGATTTTGAGCAGATGAGAAGTTAAGTAATTTAAACTCTACCCTTTCTTATGGGAAGGCTTTTTAGGGGTCAAGGCATATTTCATTTATTTTGAAATTGAATTCATTTTTTCATTCAGGTTTCTGTCCCACTTCAGCTGAAATCAACTCTAAGCCAACACTGATGTTTTTGGAGGACTTTTCACTTCCACTTCTTGGGTGGTGCCTTAGGCTTCTACCCCAAAGACACTATATAAAGGCCCTACTGGCTTTGAACTCCTATGAATTATTAACCTTATTATAGTTTTAAAAAGCTTTGCTATCTTAAGATACCACCCTTTACCATCAGATCACTGGTATGTTTAGCTTCATACCATGTTTTCTGATGCAATGGAATGCTTAACAGATGGGAACAGAGAGAGGGCGGCAGGACAGTTAAGGCAGGAAGCAGGGCCGTTATTCTTGAGTCCAGGGGAGAAGGGACATGCAAGAAAGAGTCTCAGAGTAACTCCAGCTTGATTATACCAGGTATAAATTGTGTGGGAGAATCACTCTGGTAGGCTTTCAAGATTCTGTTACATTAGCTTATTAGCAATAAAGCTCTTTCTAGAAATCCAAGGGGTTCTTCTTTCCTGATCCTGCCAGCCTCATAGTACTTGACATCTGAGTGGTGGCAAACTTCTCACTTTGTCCTACTGCTTCTTGAGTTATGAGTGTACCCTCCTTCCTACTAAAGTGAATATTCACAGAGGGAGGGAGGGGTAGTCGCAACTGCATAACAGAACAGCTGTATTACAAGAGAAGATGCCCAGGCAAATATAGGTGATGGAAATCCCTCTCCCCAGGGATATAGATCTGAAAAATAGATCAGTGTTTGCTAACCAGGCACTTTCCAGGTGAGTTGGGGATGCATCTCCCAGAATTCCAAGCCAGCACAGCCATTGTTGTCTGGACACATCTGGATGGTGCCGGGTTGGGGAAAGCATGATACTGGGTTATTGAACAAATAGCATGGCTTGGTGTGAGTCAGATTCTTACATTTAAATCCTTTAAATTGAGAAATAAGCTGCCGTTGAGTCATCAAGGGCCATAGTTGAATTCTAGAGCACATGGTTTGCATAGTGAAGATCTCAGATATAACGCTCATGTCCTTTTTTATCGTTTTATTTAAACAGTACCAATGGTACCAATGTAATTCAATACTTACATATGTCAATCTAAACTATTCAAACAAGTTATATCCTAAAAAAAAAAAAAACTAAACAGTAAAACTAGAAAAAAAGGAAAAAACAGAAGAGAAGCAAAGAAAATTTTTTTACACACCAAAGAAGAACAGCAATATAATGATACAGAACAATAAACATTTCTTTACTTATCAAATATACCAACAATAATAAAATCTTATATATGCAAATTATTAGAGTGGGTTTTTGAACAACAAATTAAACTGAGACCATACAGAATTATATTTTCTGATCTAACCTGTCCAAATCCCCATAGTCTTTTGTTCAAAGGATCAGATAACAAATAATGAGAAAATGAGAGGTTTCTGCTGAAACCTTAATCATAGAATGATAGAATTGTGGAGCTGGAAGTGGCCCCAGGAATCACCCAATCTAACTTTATGTATTTTATAAGAAAAACAATCGGATCATTCTTGAAAGGTACATTTAAACTTATAGTAGCTGCAACTTAGACAATTATTTGTGACCCTAGTTTCTCTGGCAATGGAAACTAGTTCCTCACCATCTTCCCATGACACCCTTTTACATACTGGAGCAATGATATAATGTCTCCCCTTGAGGAGGACCAGCCATTCACAGTAGTCTGACCTAGTGTAAGACATTTTCTTGGGGAGGGATGTAGAAATACATTAAATAAGTAAATAGGAGAGATTTTGTGTGGGACATTTGATCTGTTACTGTTTTGTATATATGGATTGTCACTTGAGGTTGTAGCTAACAAGTGAACAGATCTGTACAGATGTTCATGCAACAAATACATACATACACAGAGAAGTCCACTCAAAAGAATATTGCACTCATCCTGGTCCAAGTGTAAACTAATTGTTAGCTGCAGCAGTGCTTTGTTACATGCTTTGAGCCAATAAGTTGAACTCACCCTTGAGGTTAAAAACTACTTGAAGTGTATACTTGAATATGTTACAGTATTCCATCAATTGTACTTCTCTGAGCTTTAGCTCTTATATTCCATCACATACATAGTCCCTTACACTTTAGAACAAAAGCAATTTCACAAGCAATATAAGGTGAGTAATTTAAGGTGAGTAATTTAATTAAGTTTGAGATTCCTTGGATATTGGCAAACAGGGTGGAGGAGATGCAAAGATGAAATGGAGCAGGACCAGAGATAGCTCAGGTTGAAGGAGATATATGTGTACTGCCCCCTGGAGGGGGAAGGATAGTCTTATCAGAGCCCATACTCTGTGGTCCATCTCTTTGCCAAAGCCTCTACTTAGACAAGCAACCTCTTGCTCAAGAAGTTCCCAACAGGCTGCATTTCCACATCCTAGGCAGGTATGCACTCACTCACTCTCTGGCTCCAAGGTGAATCACTACAACTCCTTTTAAGGAGAGGCGGCATGAAAGGAAGTGGGGGAAGGGTTCATTGAGAGCTGCTTCACCACGCCTTATTCTTCCTTCAGGCTGAGACGCCAAGCCAAAAGCTGATCCCAGCAGCTAAACTCAGCAGAGACTCCGACAGCTTTTCAAGCAGCTGCCTGGTTCCTCTCCAAATCGGCCTCCTTGCCCAGCACTCCCTATCGTTGCCTTCACAATGGCCAGGAATCATCAAGTGCAGAAAGCCAAGCTGGCTGAGCAGGCTGAGCGTTATGAGGATATGGCGGATTTCATGAAGGCAGTAGTAGAGGATGGAGCCGAACTCTCTAACGAGGAACGCAATCTGCTCTCAGTTGCCTACAAGAATGTGGTGGGCTGTCAAAGATCGGCATGGCGGGTTATCTCCAGCATTGAGCACAAGACGGAGGAAGGAGATGACAAAGCTCAGCTGGTCAATGAATATCGGGAGAAGATTGAAAAAGAGCTGAAGAGTGTCTGCAATGTGGTCTTGGGGCTCTTAGATAAGCATCTCATTCAAAAAGCTAGTGACCCAGAGAGCAAAGTGTTCTACTTAAAGATGAAAGGCGACTACTTCCGCTACCTGGCTGAGGTGGCCACTGGGGATGACCGTAAGCAGATAATTGACAATGCCCGAAATGCTTACCAGGAGGCAATGGACATCAGCAAGAAGGAGATGCAACCCACAAATCCTATCCGCCTGGGCCTTGCTCTTAACTTCTCTGTGTTCCACTATGAAATTGCCAACGCCCCAGAAGAGGCCATCAAACTGGCCAAAACGACCTTTGATGAGGCCATGGGTGACCTCCACACACTCAGTGAAGATTCCTACAAAGACAGCACTCTCATCATGCAGCTTCTCAGGGACAATCTCACATTATGGACAGCAGAGTGTTCAGGAGAAGAAGGTGGAGAAGCGGGTGAAGAGCCAAAGAACTGAACTTTTTAGACAGTAGAATGATGGTAACTCCACATCTCCCTTCCTCTTTTGTTCTTTTCCAACACATGGTATTTTTGTAAGATGCATCTCCAGCTCCTGAAAGTTTCAATGGGATTTTGACAGCAAAAGGGGATGGATTCATACAGGACTTAAGCATTTATCCTCTTGTCCTCATGTGACAGCTTTGGGATTACCTTTGTCCCTGGGCCCCATTCTTCCTGGTATGTGACACCTGCTAGACTCACCGCAGCCTGGAGCTCCTTGTTTGGTTTTTTTAAAATAAACTCGTGTGTTTGGTACAGCATCTGGTTAGCACAAGTGTTCTCCTGATTTGGGAGGGAGGACTGATACATCCTTTATATATATATATACATATACATATACAT